ATGATGAAGCTTTTTCTTTTAATTATCCAACAATAACAATTATTATTAAAATAGCACTGATTGTGCCTCTTTCTAATTATTTTTTGTTGTAAAAAGCTAGAAGGTACTTTTTTTATAAATGTAAATCATATAACTCTTACATTATTGATGACTGCTGGATCTGATTATTGGTATAAGGTATAGGGCAAATAGAGTCAAGGTAAATAAGCTACAATAGAAGCCAAGAGATTTTTATTGTAAAAACTTTGTAAATTAGTGATAAATATATAATCCTCTCTATCTTATTTTTGAGTTGCACCAAATTTATAATCCAAATCCTAATAACAAAATAATTAATGAATTTTAATTAAAAAAAAAATTCAAATAAAAAATAAAATTCCATATATACCAACAAAATTTTTAAAGCATTTCTACTTTTTAAATAGCCCATACTATTATAATCGTCATTAATGTTGGTAGTTGCAACTTTATTTGGCTCATTCCAGGGCAACCATCGATATAATAATTCATAAACCATTAATGTTGTGCCAAATTGTGGAGAGGATCTAAGAACTCTAGCAGGACCACCCCTGAACAAAGCTTTAAATCCTTCTTCCCTGCATATTTTTTTAGTCGCATCAATTATACCATTGTATTGAGTTTGTCCTTGTCTAGCTTCTGCTTGTAATCTCGTTTTGATAACATCAGCTGGTGTTGTAAAATAGGCTGCTGGCATACCTGCAATTGCACCAGATAACAATAATTCCCCTAAACCACATTTTTTTCCATCTTTACCATCTTGAAAAAAATCTTTTTTTATATGTGAGTACGCAGGAAAATATATTGCACTAAATGGTATATCTCTTAATAAACATGCGCATGTTCCTTTATATAACCCCGTTATACCAAGAGTTTTAACTATCGATAATGCAGATTTGTGTGGAGTTGGTTTTATGTAACTTTTTGCTGCTTGTCCTTGTACTTGAAGTCGAATTTTTACAATTTCTAACGGATTCGTGAATACCTTTTTGTAATTATAAAAAAATTTAATTAATTGATCGATTGATTTTTAACTAATTAATATACATAATTACCACTTGACAACCTCCCGCGACTCCACCTGACAAAATCTCACGTTTAAACGAAATTTCGCCGGTTTTTTTATCAGTTAAAAGTGATCTCACAAAATCATTGGCTGTTAATTTTATGGCTTTTTCAGGTGCTACACCAATTAATTGAGGACCTAAACCACTATAAAGGCCTGCAATTCCTTCAGACTTTAAAACTTTACGAAAACAATCTATGCTATTTTTGTATAGTACTTCTCCCACAACCTTTGTTCTTTGGTTTTGCATTCTAGTTTTAACTAAATCGATAGGATACACAGAAGTTGCTCCAACAGAACCAGCAATTGATCCCAAAGTAAGCGAGTAAACTTGATACAACAATTCCAATAATATTCCCATTTTTTCACCAGACCTTGATATTTTAGTAGTAGTAGTAGTAGTAGTAGTAGTAGCATTATCGTCACCATCAATAATTGCCACGCGTCGTTTAGTTTCTGACGATTTCTGATGCCATTGATTATCCAGTAGTTGAATAAAATCATTTCTGCTTAATCTATCGTCAGGTTTATTTTCTAGAAGACGAGCGAAATGAAACACTATATCAATTTCTAGTGGTGTGAATAAAGAAAATAACGTTTCTTTTGAAGCCGTGTTTATAAAATCATTTTTTGTGATTTTTCCATCTTTACTATTCGAAATCGACTTCAACACAATTCTTTCTACCATATTCATCTGACGCAAAACATTATGAAAAGCAACTACCACTGCATAATTGATTCTGCCATTTTTTGATAAATCTGCTATAGTATCTAAATGATCTATAACAAAATCGGACAATTTATGCTTTGCTGTTGAAAGCATGATCTGTTTGAATTGGTCGGGTTTAATATAACCGTTACCCTCCTTATCGTAATGCATAAATTCTTGACGTATTTTTTCACCTTCTAAACCTTTTAATAATTGGGAAAATTCTTCATAAGTCAATTCATGTTTATCATTACTGGCATACAACTTCAACCAATCACAATCAAAATTAAATGGTATACTATCAGATTTTTTTAAATATGATTGTAGTATTTGCTTAAATTGTCCAATGGTGATTTTACCTTTGCCTTTAATATCAAACAATCTGAAGGCAATTTCATATTCTGCATTGGGTTTTAATAGTAAATTTTCAAAGATTACAAAATCTTGTAGAGAAATCAGTCCTTTATTATTGGTATCAGCAACTTTAAATAATGCGGAAAATATTTCTTTTTTTATTTCTTTATAATCTTCTCCCGGTGCTATGGCTGTTAGAAAATCTTCTTCATTCATATATTTTTGTCCATCCATTGTCACCGATGCATAATTTTCAAAAACATTTTTTGGTTTGGTAAAACTGGTGATTATCGAATTATTGCTAGGAATTGTGACAGTGGTGGGGATTGCTGTTGCTACTACTGTTGTTGTTGTGGCGGCAGTTGTTGCTTTTGCGGCGGCAGTTGTAGTTTTTGGAATGTGCTTGAATTCAACGGAAAGCAATTCCATTTTTTAAAAAAATAAATAAACAAAAGAAGTTTTCAATTTACTTTATTTCAATTTTTGGAATAAATAAATTTAATGGAAACCATTTTTTGCGTTGAATATAAATGGGTTTTTTATTCTAATACGATATAATACTAATTTTGGGTTTTTCATCTGTTTCGCGAGGTTTGTTTGGAAAGGAAAAGTATGCAATTAATATTATTTGTTTTTTATTTGTTTTTATTTTTTTTTTTCCTTCCGTCGGAATCCACTGATTGATTAATGACGTCGCACGACATTTTGACATTTAAGTTTAAAGATTCAATTTTGATCATTTGACAGTTTTTTTTTTTTTTTTTGACAAAACTTAATCCTTTAAATAATAATGAATTCTAAATAAATAAAGTTTAACATATGAAAATTTCTAAAAATAAGTAAATGGAAAACTAAATAAATAAATATCCACTACAAAACAACGCAAGGAAAGAACCAATTGGGATTTGTTTATGGGATCTTGCTTTTAATCCAAGAATTCAATCGGTAGACGTTGTTTCAACTTTTTAACCCTTTGTTTTTTTTTCGATAACATAAATTATCCCCGTGTAACTTCATTTATGTCATTTTTCAGTTGGTACTAGAAAAATTCACACACAGTTGAATTTTATGATTCTTATTTATAAAATGCAAACCATTATAAATCATATAAGTAATACAAACAAATGTTAAAGATACAATTGTTAAAATAATAAGTATTTAATAGCAATAATTATTTTTGAATATTAATAGTAATTAATTTAAATTTACGTCCTTCAATTTTATTGTAATTGTTTGATCTTTTAAATCATTGAATGCATGTACATGAATCAATACTTTTATCTGGATAATCAAAAGCATCACTAAAAATGCTAGAATCATCAACACTAGTATCACTGGAAATTGTATCTTGATCATGATTCATCAAGTCACGTGTATTATCTGCCTCAGTAGTAAATGGGTGGGTTTCACTTATAAACATTTACTGATTTTGAATCATTATCTGAAATATTTAGAAAAGTAAGTTTAGCTACAGTAATCCTTTGATTTTCATTTTGCAATTAAGTCCAGTAATAGAACAATGTAAAGTTATGTTCGACTTAGGTTCCTATAATAAATATAAAAATATATTACAATTAAAAAATCACCCATTTAAAATATTAAAATTACCATCGTTATTTTGTAAATTTAGAATGTAATAGTTTTTTTGTAGTAGAAAACTATTAAAAATACCCTACAATAATTGTTTAGCATTTAAATTATAATTAATTATTATTATATCTTTTCCGAACCCCATATTGATTTAGTGCTGTTATGCGTGAAAAATGATGTTTGTATTTGCAATTCATATTAATATGTGAAATTCAAATTAGCTAATCTAAGTGCCCGCCTAAAATTTTTAGAAATACATGCAAAATTTCAAAAATAATAATAATTGAATGGCGTAGGATTTTCCCGATAAAAAAGTTAAAGTTCGGTATTAAGGCTATATTGACCGTATACACGAATACTAGAATCATCAACGTAGTATCACCGTAAATTGCATCTTGATAATTATATCTGTTTCAGTATTAACTGGTTGGTTTCACTTATAACATTTACTGATTTTGAATCATTATCCGAAATGTCTGGAAGGGTGAGTTAGCTACAGTAATCTTTTGTTTTTCATTTTGCAATTTATAACAATTAAGCCCAGCAATAGAATGATGTAAAGTTATGTTCAACTTAGGTTCCTATAATAAATATAAAAATATATTACAATTAAAAAATCACCCATTTAAAATATTAAAATTACCATCGTTATTTTGTAAATTTAGAATGTAATAGTTTTTTTGTAGTAGAAAACTATTAAAAATACCCTACAATAATTGTTTAGCATTTAAATTATAATTAATTATTATTATATCTTTTCCGAACCCCATATTGATTTAGTGCTGTTATGCGTGAAAAATGATGTTTGTATTTGCAATTCATATTAATATGTGAAATTCAAATTAGCTAATCTAAGTGCCCGCCTAAAATTTTTAGAAATACATGCAAAATTTCAAAAATAATAATAATTGAATGGCGTAGGATTTTCCCGATAAAAAAGTTAAAGTTCGGTATTAAGGCTATATTGACCGTATACATGGTTCAGGTAATATACCGAGTGCTCAGCTGCAAAATCACACACCGAGAGTTTTATATTCAATTTTTATTACCGATTCTAAAGGAAAAGAAATCTTGATTGAGCCGATGAGGATTATTAATGTAGATATAATAAAGTCGCATACAATCTAAGCTCTCTATACCGAAACCTCTGTACCATGTATGTAATTTTTCTGATTTTGTTCGTTATAGAGAGAGTTACTAAGATTCTCGTTATAGAGAGAAAAATTAATTATAAAAATTGAATCGGGGACAAAAGGGAGACAAAAGGGAAATTCGTCATAGAGAAATTTTACTAAGTGTTCGTTATAGAGAGATTCGGTATAGAGAGCTTAGACTGTATTCACAAATTATATGTAGGAAATTTGGATTTCCCTCCTTCATTAATTTATATTTAAATTTTTACCACCTCTCTCTCGAGTGTTTTTTCTAAAAATCATGTTAAACAATCTCTAGATCTAAATTGCTCTTAATTTAATTATTATTATAATTTTCTTGGTGAATCCGGGATCACGTTAACAATTACGTTGCCATAATATTAATAATACTGGCATGTCAGCGAATCGAACCGCCATAATTATGAATGAGGCAATTTTTATTTTTGACCATTATTATACTATTACTATATTATTACTACAGTCAAACCTCGATAAGCCGAATCACAGAAATAGGACCGGCTTATCAAAATTCGGTTTATGAAAAACGATTTTTATTATTATTAATTGTTCAAATAAAATAAAAATTTTATTTGTGAACGATTGATAGTGTGGGGTAAACCGAATTTTATCATTATAAGACGAATTTTAAAACCAGTTTATAATCATCAACTGGTTTTCATAAATATTCGGCTTAGAAGGTTATGTTGTATCAAACGTTAGGTTCTGTTTATCAAGTAGGACGGGGGGTTATAATTAATAAAATTCGGGCTTAATGAAATAATTTTTATTAAACATGATTTGGTTAATCAATTTTGGATCGTTATAAAGCGAAAATCGGTTTACAGTGCTCGGTTTATCGAGGTTTGACTGTATCACTATCACTATTAATTAATATTACTATTATGTACTATTATATTATTACTATTACTATTGATTGGTGTGAACTATTAATTATTACTATTACCTATAATTATAATTTGATTTAGAAGATACAACAAAGCCCTTTTCTCTGTGTCCTTCAGATGCAATACTAGAGATTGGATCGGTCTTATTTCTCATCTGTAGCTTCTTCCCATTCTTTATTAATTTATGAAAGAAAATCAAATTGATCATTGGATTGATTATAATTGCATAATATTATCATATCATATAATATAATATTTGTACAATATACCTGATGTCCTAGAAAGACAACATATATAAAAAGAAATTAAGACAATAGAACCAATTCCAAATATAACTTTACTGTTATGTCCTGGTTTAAAAAATGATTCTCTAGATCCGTAAGAGCCAAAGGCGATACAACAAGTTAAAAACCAACGAATAACACATATGTTTGTTTATTTATTTACAAGTTTCTTTCCTTCAAGAGAGAGTTTATTCTAATATTGTTTTTGAAGTTCTTCGGATGGTTTTATAGAATTTTCTGATTTGCTTCGATGTTGGTAAAAACGATAGGTACCGAAATTGTTGAAATTTTTCTAACTTGTTTAAATTACTTTTAGTTGAATATTTGTTAGTAAAAAAGTTCTAAAAAAATTTTTTTTTAAATAAAAATTGATTGATTATTTTTTTAGTAAATTAATTGAAAGTGGCTTTGACATATTTGTATGGGAAATTTTTTTAAAAGTTTTTTTAAAGAGAATTATTTATTAAAATTTAAAAATTTACAAATTAAAATATATAATTTTTTTTAAAATAATTGTTTTTTTTTATCTATGCATGAATGAGTTGGAGTGGATTATAGTGTATTCATTAAATTAAAATTTTTTTTTAAAGTTAAAATTATTCTTTAACCAAAATCATCACTACATTCCTACAATCTTTCTATCCCAACGATTTTTCTCCAATACTTCAACAGGTAAATTTGCAAATCCTCTTGCACAATATTTTTGGTTTTTTTCCAAATATTGTTTCCATTTGATATTTTTATGTTGTTCTTCAGAACGAATGAATGATCCTACTCCCATAAATAATGCAAATGAACCTGCTGAAGTCAACATATATCGTCCCAAAGTTGAAATATAACCTTGAGATCCTGGCCCGTATCTTATTATTGTTATCATTATTATTATCATTAATATTATTATCATTATTATTATCATTAATATTATTATCATTATTATTATTATCAACTATAATATTTCAAACGTTTTTCTTTATTGAAGCAATAATAATAATTTATATATGCTTATTTTCAATGAAACGACTTACTTGAATATTTGAAGTGTTCCAATCGCCAAACCCAAACAAATGCCTACAGCTCCTCCCACCATGGCTCCATGTTTCATGTAATCAAAGCGTGATGGTTGATTTTGCATTTTTATTGTTTTATTTTATTATTTAATTAATAATAAGTATACTTTTATAAAATTTCAAAATTTATTTCTGGGAAAAAACAAAAATTTATGATTGGTGTGTAACATCCATTTTTGATCAAATTATGACAGCATAATGGAATTCGTTTCATCACACAGTGACAAAATCTTTTTTATAATGTATATATATATAGAAAAATATGGAGTGACTATGCATAAAAACTTGTTTAACCTATATTAGATTCATTTTTTTAATATATATTTTTCGGCTTTCTATTTCTCAATATTAATATGCGGGTAAAATATGATCAAATGATCAAGTTGTTTTCAAAGGGTTATATAGGAGCTACATTTCAAGCTTTAACAATCTACATATGTCAGAATTGTTTCATTTATTTTTTTCAAGTAAGAATGACTGAATGAATATTTTTATCAACTCTTTTATTACAATAAGAATAAAAGTATTATATACAGGCAGAGTTTTTATTTTGCATTCTCTTTAGAAAGTATTAATTTAAAAGTTTTTTTTCTATAGCATGTAAATAAATCCAGAAATTGACTGTGTTTTAAGCAAATCAATTGCATCATCATAAAATAAATAATTATAAATTTAAATTAATATAATTTTGAAATTGCACATACACATACACTTCTACTTAAAGATAATGATGTCAAAGTCATCCAAAAAAGTCATTAATAAATCCTCCAGCTAAAAAACCGGCTGTTTAAAATTTTTTAAATTCCACTGGTAAAAACTAGAACCGTGAAATCAACTAACATTGGACAATGAATAGTAAAAAGATTTGATGGTAAAGACAGAATAGATAATATTTTAGATTAATTAAATTATTAGAGAAGCAGCGCACAAAAGGTACTCTGATTTGCCAGTTTTTTCCGGCAGAATTTTTATTTTTCCCATTTTTGTTATTCGCACCCCTCCCGTGACTAAGACAAGGATGAACCAATAAAATCATCACATTTTAAAGCCATTAATTGGTCACATTACTACACTTAGTCACGGGAGGGGTGCAAATAACAATATTATTAT